CAGTATCACGATAGGGATCTGACACCTACATTATGTTTTTATTGTTTGTCACCCAGAATTCCAATGGTAGATGGCAGCTACATAAATGTGTTAAATAAATACATAATTGTTTCCTTTAATTGACTGCCTTTCCATATAATACAAAAAAAAATTAGAGACAAAAATTGAAAAGGAGGCATCAATGGTAAATCTAGACAAGAACATGAAGGACAAAGCTATTTCTATGATAATAAAAAAACCAAATTTGCTAAAGCAGTTGTCTTTCCAGAAGTAAAGGCTAGAGCAGCGAAAGAAAGAAAGAAAACAGAAATAAATGATGGATTAGTACATAATTAGTAAGAATATCATAGGCTGCAAGAAAAACAAACCAATCAAAGTCATTGTCAGGCTGCCCTCCCCATCACTTGTGCTGCTGCCTACCACAATACTGAGAGGGAGGACAATGGGGGGGGTGGGGAGAAAGGGAGACTGTTGTAAAGGGGGTGAGGTGGTGGAGACCAGCATGGAGGGGAAGTCTGGGATACTTTTCTTCCTGTCACAAGAATGCTGGATTGTGCCTCTATTTTAGAAATTATTGATGAATGCTCTTTTGTGAGTGTCTGCATATTTTCTTTTAAGAGGAGGTTATGAAAGTTCAGGTCCAGAGAGGCTTCATTGGAGTGGACTAGGGTAAATAATAGGGGCTTTGCTCTTGGTTGTTTTCTTCTGACATGTTTCCATTGGTCTTGATCTTGAGATATGTATGTATGGGTTGTTTTTTATGGAAGCTGTTTGTTCCCTATTGTATTCAATTTGGGTGTATCGATTTTCTTTGTTATGTTCATATATGGAGGTCATCATTTTTTTAGAAGTTTGCTCCCTATTATGTTTTATTTTGGTGTGGTCTTCTTGTTTAGGTTGGGATTTCTTGCTTTGTGCATTGAGTTTCAGAGTGACTGGAGTTGGCTCTATACCCTTTTTCTTCTGCTAATTCAAGTATCCCTTCCCCGGCGTTGGCTGTGGGTATCATCGCCTCCCCCTGCAGTGGCTGGAGAGGCGGGGGGTGGGTGGGGATGCTGCGCCACCTGTAGTTGGGCCTGTCGCCCAACCCGCACACCTGCTGCTGAGCCGCTGGCCGAGCCAATGCCTAGGAAGGAGCAGCGGGTGGGGCAGCCGGCAGCTGAGCCAGCAAATGCTGCCCCGTGCGCCTGAACCGGCTGGTTGCTCTTGCCCTTCCCCCTGCAGCTGCCACTGCTGCTGCTCTTCTGAGGTGGGGCGGTTGTGCAGGAAGAACACTGGAGACAGTGCAGCGATGCCCACAGCCCAGGGAACCCACGCAGCTGGTGGACTGAGCCAAGAGGGGCATCTCAGCCCTGCTTTGATGGCGGCCATGGGGTTATCTGTGCAAGCAGCCCACCACCAACCCTGCCCTCACTGGCTGCTGGTCTGCCAAAGCCCCGCCAGCCACAGTGCTCGGCCTGCAGCTCCTAGTGGGTAGGAGCCCAGGCAAGGACACGTGTTCAGAACTTCCCCAGCCAGCAAATGGCGCTGCCAAGGTGGTGAGGCCAAGAGCGGCTGCCTTACCAGGAAATGGGCCGGTACCTGGTAAGAGGCGCGTCGGCCCTCTTGGAAAAAGTGGAGGCGCATGCGTGGGGGGTGCATGTATGTGCAGTGCGGGGTGAATGTGCGCATGCACAGTGCGGGGGGATGCTTGTGGGCATGCACAGTGTGCAGTGGGGGGCGCATGCACAGGGGAAGCATGGAGGTCTTGTGCACATGTGCAAATGGGGGCGTGCATTATGGCTGCCAGCACGCGCAAGCACAATAGTGCTCACACACTCGGACTTTTGGCACACAACGCCAAAAAGGTTTGCCATCACTGTACCTTATTGTCAGTCTCTATTTCCATAACTTTATTCTTTGTTAAAAAATTAAAAATGTCTAAAAATTAATTTTCCTGTTGTGAAGATTAGTTTACAAGAGTTCTTGGTCTTTTGTTCTGTCTTGAAAAATTCATCACTATCTTCACTGTTTTGAAGTGTCTTGTCTCTTTTTCCATGGATTATTTTTTTCTCTTAGCTCGTTAAGAATTTAAATTTTTTTGATGAATTAAAATAAGTAAACTTTTTTCAATTTTTTAATTGAAAAATGTGAGAAAGTTGAAATATTTTTTCAAAAACTGAAGAAATTTAAAATTGAAAGATTAAAAGATTTAAAAATTTGAAAAAAGAATTTAAAATTAAAAATGATATTTGAAAAAAGATTAAAATTTGAACAAGAAATTTAAAAATTGAAAAAAGAAATTAAAAAATTTGAAAAAAGAATTTTAAAAAAGTATTCAGAGATTTTAAAAATTTAAGAATTTACAAGAGTTCTTGACCCTTTATGAACTAATATGCATTTCTTTTTTGTTGGAAATCTCAGACTGTTTTCTAGGAGATGCTTTGCTCTTAACCCTCTACTCCCTGCATTGAAAGTTTATCCCTTCCCTCCCTGTCCACAAGTGTTTTGTACTTATCCTTCTCTTCCCTGCTTTATTGCCCTGCGGTTGCCTGACCACTGCCGGGGTTTTCAGGTACAATGTGCTGATGTGGGCCTTTTGCTCCATTTAGCTGGTCTGCCGCACTGCACTCAGCTGTTGCTGGTCTGCCACACTGCTCTCAGCCACTGCTGTGGGCGCCACTGCTCAGTTGGTCCTCTGCACTGTTCTCAGCTGCTGGTGCCCTCTTGGTCACTGCTCTGGGTGGTTCACTCCTCTGCCACTTAGCTCTGCACCGCTTCTGCTCAAGGTCTGCCATGCTGCTCACAACTGCTAGTCTGCTGCCACCTAGCTCACCACTGATCAGTCGCCTCCATTTGCACCACACTGCCTTCACTTAGGTGTTGGGCTGGGTCACTGGTCAGCCTCTCCATCTCTCAGCTCAGCTGTCTTTCTTCCTCTCAGATGAGTTGCAGGGCCACCTCTCAGTTGGGACACTGGGCTGCCTATCAGCTGGGCACCTCTCAATTGGGCCACCAAGATGCCTTTCAGCTGGGCCGTTTCTTCTCACCTCTCACCTCTTTGTTCTAGGAGTTCAAGTTCTCTTTTTGTTCTCTCCTATAGCCCACTTGAAATAGTTCATAATCCACACATGTATTGAAAATGAGAGATGAATAAAATTTGGAAAGTAAAACAAAATCTCACCTTAAAAGAAAAAAAAATAGTATCTCAGCTAAGAGTAAAAAAAATGAAGTGTCACCTTGTTAGTATAAAAAAAAGATAGTATATAATATAAAAAGATAATACAAGGTAGTCCACAAAAATCCACAAAATATTTAAAAGTATTTAAAAAGTAAAAAATATTGTAAAAATAAATAGAAGGTAGTCTCAGAGTGAAAAGCATATGCAAGCCAATGGGAGGCTTGAAGCAACACGATTTCGCTGCCCCAAAGTCTTGTCGGCTTGCAAACGCTCTTTGGCCGGATCTGGTGCAGGCCTCAGTTCACCAAGAACAGAAGCCTAAAGTACTGTAGTGCAAGATCACACGAGATCAGTAGTGCCAGACAGGTACCCCTCCAGTCCCCTGATCAAAGGGAATAGCACTAATTTCTCTTTCTTTTTGCAGAATGTCCCAGTAAAGTGGGGCAGCATGTCAAATCTGCCCTCCCCGTCACTTGTGCTGTAGGCTATCACAATCCTGAGAGGGAGGGAGATGGGGGGAAGGGGGCCTGTTGTAAAGGCGAAAAGCAGGAGAGACCAGTACAGACAGGAAGCAGAGGTCAATCAGAACCAATCTCATCTGGACCACTTCAAGGACTTTTGTGTGCCCAGGACCTGGGAATGGGCTAAGGATTTGGAACAATGTAGCAATTTGCATGTGGTTTCTTCAGATCTGGCCTTGCTTTTGCTGCATCCAGTTGTCTCTAGTAAAAGAGCCTTGTAACCTTCTGATGGAGTCAGGTGTCTTTCTTTCCTAGAGAGCCAGCTAGGGCAGGGCTGACAGTCCTGAAAAAAACACAGTCTAACTGTTTTTTTCAAGTTATAAGTAGCAATCAGAAATTCACAAATGTTGGGCAGGTAATACCAGAAAGTTTACTTGGCAAAGATTAGAAAAGTAGAGAAAGGAGAAGGTGGAAGGACAGGACACTGGAATGTCCCTGAAATAGCTATGAGATTTTCTCAGGACGGGCCACAAAAAGAGGGCATTTGTCCACAGTCACCAGTCATCCAATCCATTTTGATGACATTTAAATCTACATACTTACATGCATGAACACATATTCTGAATTAAATTATTATTTTAAATTTATTAGCTGCCCAGCTTCAATGGACTCCTTTAATGCTTTTTTAATGTTCTTTACCTTTATTAATTGTTTTTCTTTTCTAATTGTTACTAATAGTTTTTGTCATTTCTTTCTTTTTTGTCCTGAAAATGATGATGATATCAATGTGACTTTTTATCAAACTGCTTATGTGTGCAACTGTTAGTTATCAGGCTTCCCTACTTTCAAACCTATTTAGTAAGCTAATTATGAAAACTAAGTTATCAAAATTAAAGACCTTCAATGGAACCCAAATAGAAGCTAGATGTTACTATCAAATCAACAAATGTCACTTTTTGTAACTAAATGAGTTACAAAAGTCTCTGAAGAGCGGCGGCATATAAATTTAATAAATAAATAATTTAATAAAGAAATAAATGGTTTTACAGTCTTTGTAATGACCAGCCACTGGGGATTTTCCTTCTAAAATGAATGGGAGCATGGTTGTTATCTTGTGTAATTCTCAGGCTTTTAATGGACTAGCACAGAAAAATATGTATGATTACCAATGCTTTAAGGGAAGTTACTTTTCATTCTATAGGAATTTCCTTGCCAATCCAGTAATTGTGATGCTGTTTTTAATGGACTTTGACCAAATACAGTTAGAGGGGTGAAAAAATCTTGAACCGAGTTAGCTTATTTTAGGCTCTTACACAACAACAATACAATCCTAAAAGAGTTGTATACATCTGAAATAATAAGAGACCAAATGGCTTTACCTGCAAAAGTGTATGAACTGCATGTGCAACTGGAAAAATGCCTTCTGTAATTGGTAAGCAACTTGAAAATCCAACAAAGTATCCAATTTTGAAAGAATCCATAATTAAAGTAATGATTGCAAACAAAGTAATTCCACCTGAAACAAATGTTAAACGAAAGAGTTATACTAAAAGTAAGAACTTTGACATAGCTCAGTTGGTAGCCTTTTTCAACTTCATTCACATAAGTTATTCCAGACTTAACAGGCTAACAGCAATATTTCTAATACTGGGTTGTATATGTAGAAGAATAGAATTAGAATTAGAATAGAATAAAATAAATCCAATCCAATCCAATATTCTTTATTGGCCAAGTGTGATTGGACACACAAGAATAAAGAATCTTCTTATGTCCTCCATTTCTATTCATTGACATAAACATTTGCTCACCAGGTTAATCGGCTGTACAGATCAATTTAATTTCTCCCTACTGTTCTGTACTCCAACTCCTTTAAAAACATGTTATGTTGTCGACTTACGATGGCACTGCAGGCATTGGAAGACGTTCCTTTGGGAGCGCCAGCCCCGGATCACGTTAAAACCGCTAGGACAGGACAAATCAGCTATCTAGGTTTGGATACTTTCCCCTCGGGAAAAGGGGGGGAAGGTGAGCAGCCGGGCGAAGGATGGCTCCCCAAGACCCCCAGGAACAATTCTGGGGCTCAGAATTCTGAAGGGTGAGAGCTCCCTAGAAGCCTGACAGAGCTCCGGATCCGGGACGCTTCTGCTTTAAGCAGAACAAGACGCCGCGACCACTCCTGCAACAATTTCTTAAAAAACATCGATTCAAAAGCAGGCAGAGCAAAGGCAGGAGTGATTATAACCGCAAGTACTAAACTTTAACTCTGATTGAGCATTACTTCCTTCTGAGATCATTAAAAGGGAGGGAAAAAAAGGGAAAGGAAGATGGTGCCGTAACTTTAAAAGGTGTGAAAGTGGAAGTTAAGAGGAAAGTGCTCATTAGCGCTGCCAGCCCTGTTCAAAATTAATGGACTTTACCTCAGAAGAATTAGGATTTAAAGACTAAAGAATATAGCACTGATTGTTTACAAAGTATAATATTTACAACTAATTGGACTTATTGGACTTGTTGATTTGGCTGTGGAAAAAGTGCAATTTGAAATTTAGAAAATGGATTCAAAGCAAATAAAAACTGGTGTGCCTAAAAGTGCTGGGGGATCCCCAGCTTTACCATCCAAAATGCAGTCTTTGCCAGCCCCAGCGGATTCACAAACATTGACACTTGAAGCCCTTCAGGAGGCTTTAAAGGTGCAAGCTTCTGTTTTAGAAGGAAAAATTACATCTGTTCTCGATGAGAAAATTAAAAACGTGTCTGAGGAGATGGCTGAAATTAAGGAGGTAATTCAAATTCGAAATAAAGAAATAAGAGAAGACATTGTTTTGGCGCTTAAGGGTCTGGCAGGCCATATCAAATCATTGGAGGAAAGGGTGGAAGAAATCAATCAGTCCAATGTGAGTTTGAATAAATATGGGTGAGGCTCAAGCCAAGATGGAAAAGGCAGACGCAGAAATTACAATGATACAATACAGAGAGATGGAGTTTGCCCTGAGGGTAAGAAGTCTGAGAGAAAGCAATCAAGAGAACTTGAAAGAGATTTTTGCAGAAGTCTTCGCACAGCTAATTGGAGATTCAAAGGTAGAGATAGGATGGCAAATAGACAAAATTTACCGTGTCAATTCATGGCTTGCCAGACAGAGACAATTACCAAGAGATATTGTAATCTACTTTACCACCCGGAGGACACGAAATGAAATTTTACAGGATTCTTAAAAAAACAAACTTCAGGTGGCGGGACAGGAGGTTTTAGTACTGAAAGAAATCCCCCCAAAAATGTTGAGAACTAGGAAGGATTATGCCTTCTTAGTCGAAGAACTCAGAAATCGCCAGATAAAGTACAGATGGGAGGCTCCAGATGGATTAGTGGTGAACTACTTAGGAGAAAAATATCGTCTCAATACAGTTTGGAAGGCAAGAGATTTTTATATCAATGTGCTAAAGGCTGGATGCCCACTGTCTCCAGAAATTAGAAGAAGAAAAGAAGCAGAGGTGGCAAGAAAGGGGGAGAAAGAAGGGCTTCAGGCACAAGCTCAAGGAGGGGCCTCGATTCCTCAAGAAGATTTATCGCAACTTTCGGGTACTGTTCAAGCTCTGGAATTATTCGAAAAAAATAGAAGAACCAAAGGATCAAAGACAGACTTGAGCGGCAACCAAACATAAAGAAGAGGAATTAAAGATATAGCAAACTCAGTCGACAATCCAAGAAATTACAAATACAGAAGCAGTGGGAGGAGCAAGACCGAAGAAGAAAATTCAGGAGGATTTTCAGTTGGCGCTCCAAAAGCTTCAAGGTGCCAAAAATGGCAACTAGATTTTTAACCTGGAATGTTAATGGTTTAAATTCACCGCAAAAGAGGAAGAAAGTATTTCATTATTTGAAAGTTTAAAAATGATGTAATTTGTTTGCAAGAAACACATATTAGAACAAGAGATCAAAAGTATTTAATAAATGCAAGATTGGGAACACATTTTGTTGCATCCGCTCCAGACAAGAAAAATGGTATAGTTATATACTTAAAGAAAGACTTAATGGCTAAATTAATTGAAGCAGATGTTCAAGGAAGATATATAGCAATTGAATTGTTAATAGAAGGGAAGAAAATACTTTTAATTGGAGTATATGCACCTAACCAACAAGAAAAATTTTATATACTTTTGCATACTAAATTAATACAATGGGATTATAAATCGTGTATATTACTGGGTGATTGGAATGGAGTATTGGATACCCAGAAAGATAAAAAAGGACACTTGCGAAATATCCAAACGCGTGCTAAATTGCCCAATCTTTTTTTGATATGATGGATGACATGGAACTGAGAGATATTTGGCGAGAACGGAATGCTGGTGTCAAGCTTCGTTGTTATCTCCAAATAAATGAATTTCCAAACGTCCGATCTTTGAGGAAATTTTTCTCTTTATTGAGCATAACGAACTGACCCTGACTCAATGCGCAGTTAGGACTGAACTTTGGCCCCCCAAAACCTCTCTTTCCGGTTCCCAATTCTCTGCGTCTCATTGGCCATCTTCCAAGCCACTCTTGTCATCCCATCTCCGTCAGTTCACAGGAATGTCCCCCCACATCCCATCTCCGTGGAGACAGTTCTTCAAGGGAATTAAGTAGGTGAAAGTTCAAGCCTCTCCTCTCCTTATGGCAACTTGGAAGCTGACAGCTGGAGAACAAGATTTTACATTTTTCTGTGACAGGCACCAATATTTTTCTAGAATTGACTTTATATTAATTACTAATGATTTTTTTTCTAGGGTGAAGAAGACGAAGATATGTCCAAGAACTTTAACTGACCATAGTCCGGTCTGGATGGAATTAGAACATGGCCAAGGGTCTTAGGAGGTCTTGGAGGTTAAATGAAAATTTATTCAGATATGAGGAAAATGTGAAAGAATGTAAAAAATTAATGAAAGAATTTTTTGTTATGAATATGTATAAGGGTACACCTATAGAAATGGTTTGGGATGCAAGCAAAGCATATATGAGAGGTATTTTAATATATTTGAACAATACATACAGACGTAGTCAGGGATTAAAACGGATGGAGTTAGAAGAGGAAATAAAAAAGAAAGAGCAGATGTTAATACTGAATCCAGCAGATAGGAAAACAAAAGAAGCAATTACACTATTACGAGGGCAGTTTAATATGTTGATGGCAGATCAGGTTGCAACTAATTTGCAATATGCTAAACATAATACCTTTTGTAATGCGAACAAACCAGGTAGGTGGTTAGCATATTTGTTAAGGAAAAAACAAAAGTTACGTACTATAGAGAAAATAGAATACAAAGGTATAGAGGTGTATCAACATAATATGATTAAAAAAGCATTTTTAGAATTTTATACGAGGTTGTATGCTAGTGATAAAATCCAAGATATAGACATAGATAGATATTTACAGAGGGAGAATATTCCTACTATTACAGATGAGCAAAGGGAAAGATTGAATCAACCGATAACCTCTGAGGAAATTCTCTTGGTAATCAAGCAGTTAAAAGTTGGCAAGGCTCCTGGAACAGATGGTTTGACAGCTGTTTATTACAAAAATTTGCAGTTAGAAATGGTGGAACCACTTAGGGAACTATTTAGTAAAATACAATCCGGAGGAGAAGTGCCCCCATCTTGGAGAACAGCCTTTATTTTTTTGATCCCGAAAGAGGATCAAGATCATAGTCAGCCAAAAAATTATAGGCCTATATCATTACTTAACACAGACTACAAGATTTTTGCTAAAATATTAGCAAATAGGTTAATGTATAATATGCCTGCAGGAAACACATATAAGGATCAAAAACACATATAACTGATCAAAAATATTTAATAAATGCAATACTGGGAACACATTTTGTTGCGTCTGCCCTGGGGAAAAAAAGAATGGAATAGTGATCTATCTGAAAAGAGACTTGACGGCTAAATTAGTTGAAGCAGATCAACAAGGAAGATATTTGGCAATTAAGTTACTGATAGAAGGGAAGAAAACACTTTTAATGGGGATATATGCACCTAACCAACAACAACAAGAAAAATTTTATAAATTGATACATACAAAATTATTACACTGGGATTATAATTCATGCATGCTGATGGGGGATTGGAATGGAGTAATAGACCCCAATATTGATAAGAAAAGACTTTTACAATCTACTAAATTGCGAGTGAAACTGCCTAAATCTTTTTTCGACATGATGGAGGATATGGAATTAAGAGATATTTGGCGTGGACGGAATTACAAAGAACAAGATTTTACATTTTTTTCAGATAGACATCAATCTTTTTCGAGAATTGATTTTATATTAATTACAAATGATTTTTTTTCCAGGGTAAAGAAGATAAAGATTTGCCCCAGAATTTTAATGGATCATAGTCCAGTTTGGATGGAACTGGAGTGTGGGGAAAGGTCTAGGAGATCTTGGCGGTTAATTTAAAATCTTTTTAGATATGAGAAAAACGTAATAGAATGTAAAAAATTAATGAAGGAATTTTTTCTTTTCAATATGAATAAGGGAACA